TACAGTACAATAGTAAAGATTAAAGGAAATGTGTTGAGGACACCCTCCATCACCCATATGTATAGATCCTCGTATACCGGTTATATTTCTCTACCCACAATGCAACAGCAATATCAAATTCATGTTCATGAATTATATTGAATTTATGGATGTTTTTCAAAGATCGATAAGGATTGTAAAGGAGTGGCCATATACGCGGTTAATACAGTACAATAGTAAAGAATAAAGGAAATGTGTTGAGGGCTCCCTCCATCACCCATATGTATAGATCCTCTTATACCAGTTATATTTTTCTACCCGCAATGCAACAGCAATATCAAATTTGTGTACATGAATTATATTGAAGCAAAATATATACTAAATATAATTTAAATTAATACTGTAATATATTTCATTAACTGTCTGACAGAATTAGATACACTTTCAATAAAAAAAAAAATAAATTCATACAATTTCAGATTTTGAACAATGATTAATTACACCAACTTGTTTTTGTGGCAAATTGTTCTTTTTTTAAAGTATAATATATAATATAATATAATATAATATATGTAGTAATATATTTCATACTACAGGCCTAACATACATAATACTCTAAAAAACTGTTAAAAGCAAATATGGATGAAGCTTTTGGCACTATGAATTCAGTTAAGAACAATAATTTTATAACAATTGGTGTGCAGTTCTGACATATTTGTCAGGTCACACATAAATAAACTAAAATTAATAAAATAATTAAAGTAAACCTCTACGCATATCAAATTTATGGATGTTTTTCAAAGATCGATAAGGATTGTAAAGGAGTGGCCATATACGCGGTTAATGCAGTACAATAGTAAAGATTAAAGGAAATGTGTTGAGGGCTCCCTCCATCACCCATATGTATAGATCCTCTTATACCAGTTATATTTTTCTACCCGCAATGCAACAGCAATATCAAATTTGTGTACATGAATTATATTGAAGCAAAATATATACTAAATATAATTTAAATTAATACTGTAATATATTTCATTAACTGTCTGACAGAATTAGATACACTTTCAATAAAAAAAAAAATAAATTCATACAATTTCAGATTTTGAACAATGATTAATTACACCAACTTGTTTTTGTGGCAAATTGTTCTTTTTTTAAAGTATAATATATAATATAATATAATATAATATATGTAGTAATATATTTCATACTACAGGCCTAACATACATAATACTCTAAAAAACTGTTAAAAGCAAATATGGATGAAGCTTTTGGCACTATGAATTCAGTTAAGAACAATAATTTTATAACAATTGGTGTGCAGTTCTGACATATTTGTCAGGTCACACATAAATAAACTAAAATTAATAAAATAATTAAAGTAAACCTCTACGCATAATAATGAATCACATTCTGCCATCACACATCAAACCAAAATCAAAGTCAAACCGATAAAAGTTAGGTAAAATCCCCTTTAAAAGTGACTCAATAGTATTAATTCTCCACAATCAACAGAATATAAGGCCATGGGAGGGCAGTAATGCAGTCATGTCACCCACAGCGTGATGGATTGATCTGTTTCATGATATGCATGTCACACTGGCAGACTCAAACTAGCTGATGTCATGTCTGCACACAAAATTAGCAGCAGTATAGCAGCTCAATTAACACATATAGCATCAACCACCTTCAGTAAAAGGCATTTATCACCTTAATAAATTGTGATGAATTTAATCTCTGAAAACAAACTCAATTACATGATAGGTAATTGTAATATCACTTATTTTCTGCTAAGATATTTTGCACAAAAAAAAATAAATAAATGAACCAAAAAATTAAAAAACCCAAACATATGAAGTACTGTACATTATTATAAGCTGACTGTTTTCAATGAGACTTTACAAATATATTTCATATATAATTACAGTGTAATAAGGATAGGTATTGCAAATAAGTTAATGGATACCATCATACACATAACTGATTTTTCCCGAAAATAATAATTGAGTACTATTAGTTGTAAATAATTTAGTTATGTTAATATGGTTTTTCAAGTGAGCTCAAAATCTATCTGGTTTTAAGTATTAGATCACCACATCCGTGGATTTGATCAATTCTGAATAAATTTTATTATTTTAGTTTGGTTTTTTTTTGTCATTTTATTTTCGCATTAAATAAGATTTTTACCGAGACAAAGATTATTTCTCATCAGTGGCGTACATAATAGCTGATGGGGGCGGGGGTATGAATGTGGGGGGGGGGNNGCTTGATTAAGTGAGGGAGCACTAGACCGCAAAATATAGTGATAGGAAATGATTTTTAACTACTTCAGAGTAATTTTTTTACTTTGAACATTTTCAATGGAGGGGAGGGGGGGCGAGCAACTCGGAAGCGAGCAACTGGGGAGTGCAATGTTATTCCCCAGGGCCCACCTCACAATCCCCCTCCCCCTTAGTTATGCCATACTTTTCATGTGAAATGACATGGTATTCGTGAGACTGTCTAAACTGAACAGGGCTTATTGAGTCAAAAAATAAGCGTATCTTTGTGACTTTTCACCCAGGCCTCGGCCTCATGGAATTTAACTTCATGATAGCGTTTCTTCCAATACCATTCACAGTGGAATATGTTGTATATGCCATGATTGTTATAGCATAAGAGCTTGATGCACAATGAAATCAAACCAGACACATTGCAGAAAGATTTGAACCGAGCTGTGATGTTTTTTCTGGTCGGTAAAACTAAGCTGGTTAAACCTCCAGGGAACAATTTGCTTTCTATAAATAACCATGTGGCTCATAGTAACTTAGCCAAGGAGAAATCAAGTTCTCCGGCCATTATCGATTAGTTTAGCCTGTGGTTTTAGCTTACAACAGACTAAACCAGCATTATTTTAAAGTCCGATAATATCCAATACAAATGACCAAACGGTTATATTTTGAAGTGAAAATATCATCGATTAAAAATGTTGGTGAACATTATTGAAACAAAATTATCTATTGGTAAACTATTGGTTTAACGGCTGCATTCGATTTTTGAAATTTGGATGCAAAGCCCTTTAATGTCTTGTTCGCTCTTAGACGTGTAATCAATAAGTGAAGTATTCAACACCGAACACACACACCACAAAATCAATATCATATAAATTATCAAATATTAAGTACTCGCTTAACTACAAACAGCTTCGGATGGCTTCATGGCAAGGATGGAGTTATTGATTGTAAAATAATTCAGTACTAAAAGTATACAGTATTATTGTAACCTTTGTGAACGAGAGTATAATATTAAAACATTACCATCATCATAAAATGGATGTCACCATTTAATTAGGTCAGCAGATAACCTTATGATTCAGTTACCATCTATTTAATAATAAAAATGATAATAATAATAATATAAACAATAATAAGTTGTAAAATTATATAAACTTTATCTATATTTAAAATAACAATAATGTTTAATAATTAACAATAACATTGATATCAAAAATAATAATAATAACTATAATAACATTTATACAATAATAATATTTATACAATTTACATCAAGTGAGAAGCATACATTTATATACAAAGACAAAAGCATATATACATGAATAAATGCTAAAATATTAATTTCAAAATGTGTCGTATCAAATATTGGTAGGTGTTATCATAGGGCTAACTACATGATGATTGAATATGTATAATATTTCCTCTGAAGAAATGAAAAGAACTAAACCTTTTGAAATTGCACTTCTTACGTTAGGTTACTTCTGACATTAATACAATTTAATGCTATTATCTGACAAATTATTATTTAATACCAGCTGGTATATTCACTAAATAAATTACTATATACTGTTCATTACTATGTACAGCCACCTGGCTGAATTAAAATGTAGGCCTACTATACCTGACTAATATTATGTCATCACCTGGATGATTTATGATGTAACTGCCACCTGGGCAAATCATTATGGACTGCCACCTGTATAAATTATATACTCACTGCCACCTGGATGAATTATACTGCCACCTGGATGAATCTTTATGAATTGCCACCTGGTTAAATATTTATACATTGCCACCAGGATAAATTATCATGCATTGCCACCAGGATGGATTTTGTCCTGCCACCTGGATGAATAATTATATAATGCCACCTGGATGAATTATCATGCATTGCCACCTGGATGAATTTTGTACTCCTACCTGGATAAATAATTATGCATTTCCACTTAAAAGAATTATGATGTATTGAAACATGGATGAATAATTATGCATGTCAACTGGGTGAACTATGGCGTACTGACACCTGGATGAATAATTATGCATGTTACCTGGATGAATTATGATGTACTGCCTCCTGGATGAATTATAATATATTGCCACCTGCACCATCTATAGTCTGCTTTAACTAAATAGGCCTACATTACCTTTTCTACCACCTGATGGTATATTATTAGCCTATCCTAGCGTATCAAACATTTTTTCTTTCCAAAAAAATACAAAATACTTTTGAATTTATAACCTCATATTACATTGGTAAAAACGCCATAGATTAATATGTTTTCAGTTGCACTTTCAATGCGTACAATAAGTAACAATTTTAATAAGCATCTATTTAAAATGCCTCATAAATAAGTAACCTTTAAAATAAGTTTATCTCAATAAATAAACCATATAAATTTACAATACTAATCACAAGAAATCATTGTTTATATTCAAATTTACTTAATTTATAATAGAATCAAACAAGAGAAAGAAACCTCAAAGAGGTAAAGTAAAAAGTTACAGTATTTATGTAAAATTAATAATGTCTAATGGGAACACCTCAGGTCAAATGGCAAGTACAAATTTATGATAATTTCAGAATCATTACATGGATATATAAAATTTCGGATAAATGGCTGGAATCTGGAGAAATGGTATAAACGAGAAAAAAAAAACTTAAAATGATGTAAACCTATAATTTGGCAAGAACAGTAAAAATGATTTACACCATTTCCAGATATGCATAAATAAATAATAACCATGTACCAGTGAAAAGGAATAGGATTTTCTTTGCATGGTTTTCGTCAAACTCATTTTGTGAAAAACATTTGGAAAAACTAATTCAAATTCTGAAGTACACTGTGAATGCTTTCCATGAAAATTTCAAATCTTGTAAAATAATCATAATAATATCTAAAATTAGACAAGATTGGCTGGATTTTTCACGCATAATATGAAGCACTGTGCCCTTTTTTTAATGAGAAAGTAAGAAACACTCTCTACGAATGTAATTAAGTATGAATGTGTTTTTCCAAATCAGCCAAGTTCTTGATTATTTTGTAGCAATGAGTTTTACCGAGTCATTGCTTTCGATTCTAATTCATTCTTCATCAACTGTTAATGTACTGATTCATCATTTAGATTATAAATGATTACCATTTAAATATCACAAGAAAAGTTATTATACTTTGTTCCGTACTGTCCAACTTTGTGGGAGGATGGCAAAGCAAATTGATATAAATTATGAAATTGTTTTAATTATGTTTTCATACTTCCTAATGGTAAAAGTTCTTAGAGTACTTTTGATACTTTCTAACTCGGAAGAAAAACATGGAGAAACATTATTTTTGTTTCATCTAAATTATTTTACATTAAACACTTTATCATTTCGTTCTTGTTTGCTCTCTCATTTAAAATTTGCACATAACCAAGTTTTAAAAAATATTATATATGCATGAAAATATTAAATGAAACCAAACCCTGAAATGTATTTTCCTATTTGGAAAATGAGTGCAGCTTGTATGGATTCAGCCCTGAAACTGAGGTCGCAATGGTGAAATTCATCTCCCTTCTCATGCTTTTGTTTTATTTCGCATGTTTGCCGCTGTCGAGTCGCGGCGTACATTCTTGTCCACGGGGACCTCGTGAAGCGTCTCCATCTTGAATGCTCTTGCGATAAGGAGATAGAACGTACCAGCTGTTGAAGTGAGGATGAAGGAACTCCAGGCTAAGAAAAATGAGTAATCGTACATAACGCTGTAATCGTTCGGGAAAACAATATACTGCCGGGGTTGTTCATTGTACTCGTATGTTATTGTGACTATGAAGAGGCTAGTGGACAGTAAAACAGCTATGGCTAGAAATCAAGAAAAAAAAATTACTCATTAATTTCAAGAGAAAACCTGCATCATGATAGAAGATATCTGAGATTGGTGCAAGTAAGAAAAATTAGTCAGTGGCAGCTCCAGGAATTCAAAATAGAGGGCAGGGGGCCAACAGGGAGGGACTTTCACAGATGGAGGGATCCACACCACCTAAGCCCCACCATTGTTGGGGCTGAGGTAAGAAAATTATGGCAACTCAAAATGGCCGGAAATGGCATCCTTAGACTTAAATTTGAAGTATAATTTTCTTTTCTTCTCCATTTTTTAAATAATTCTGAAAAATTTAAAGGGGGATGGCGGGGGGAAGAGGCAGGACCTGAATGCTAGAGACCTCACATATCAGAAGCAAATTTAAATAAAAGGTGTAGCAGCTGGACTGGTCTCCCTATATTATTAAATCTAAAAAAATGAGTTTGGAAAATTTGATGAAATTACTATCAAAACATCGCCTTGACTCCCTGTGACATATCAATTGACATCAAATGCTTCGTGGAAAATTCAAGTGCCGGTAGTGATTGACTTTAGCGCTGTTTTAAAGTTTTCATAAGCCACAGGGGCAATAGCATTAACTACCATATGGACAGAGATCTCTAGGACCTTGTAACAGCATGGCCATGTGACGTGAATTGATTAAGTGACAATAAAGATTTATCTTGGTTCCCCACTCATTTTGGAAAAGAGTTAATATGTAGGAACAGAGCCATATAGGCCTATAATTGCACACAGCCAAGGAGTTGTTTGAATAACCCTTCAGTAAATTTTTAGGAAGGTAATTCATTACACCACAATCAACCTATAACATGAATTACAACAAAATATAATTTATAATCTAATAACTTTTAAATTAACTCATACGTCTAGTCATACTTTTTAACTTATTACTGAGTTGCGGTCAGTTAAACAAGTGAGGTATCGCTAATTGCACGTATCACACAAGCCTGTTTGTCTCTCATAGTTCGCAAGCATATCTTAAAATATCCTGAGTAGTAATTATATGCATCTATAGACAAATTTCTAGCTAACATTTTTGTAATTTTGGACAAAGATTTCATTTGATGAAGAGATATTTAGGTAAATTCTCTGCTGATTTGACATGGAATTACCATGCTGCTATTAAAACGAAAATTCAAATAATTATGTGAACATTCCAAAAACAAATCTTCAAAGCGGCAAGAGACAATTTTACAAGAAAACCTCAATTATTCGTGAAATACAAATTTAGTTTGTACGCCTCATCTGCTCAATCGCTCAATTTTCATGACATTCAGATTTTTATCATATTTTTTGCTTGATGCTATAATCCATTTGTTACGCCACCACTTTTTGGGTTTCTTGTTTTTTTAAACACTCATGCTGCATTTTTTAAAAGTACGTAAGGTAATTCAAAACTTAGACATCATTTTCTGGTTCGTGTTAATTAGAATCTGTATTGTGCATCAGTTTTTTTATACTAATATACTGTACGTACATTGTATACATTATACATTATTACATTATAACAATTCCATGAAGATCAGTGCGATCAAAACGTGGACTATAAATAGTATAATTTTCTCCCCTATAGGGTCTCTTTGTGTCTGAGCTGCCCGGAAAACCAGTACCAGCTATTCGTCTGTTCACAACTGGGGCAGTATGAACTAGTACAACGGGGTAAATACCCTACTTGTCACAAAAGAAGTACTGGGTTCTTTATAGTGCACATGAACCAATTGTACACTGGGCCTACAGTTTATAGTCCTTTCCGAGAAGACAATTGTTCCACCTCCTGAACTATTAGGGGAGAGTGCCGTTAAAACCAGCGCCAATATTATGGACGTGTTAATCACTTGGCTATTCAACTGACCATCATTCATTTTACTTGGGCCCAATAAAAAAAATTATTAGTTTATCATCCTTGCATGCATCTCTTCTATGGTACTGAAAAAAAAAATTTGAAAATCTTTTTTTCTAATTTTTTTTTTTTTAGCATTTTTTTCATTTTGTTTTATTAAATAGTTAGTAGTTATTGTTTGTATTATCTCAATAATGTTTTACTTTGAATATCAATGCACCAGCAAACAACCCAAGGGTTATATTTTGCTTTAGCAAAATTTTAAAAAAAACAACAAAAAAAACTCCTCCCTCATCACTTTTCCAGCCTATATATGGTGATGAATTAATAATATTTTTTTATAAGGCCTTACTATTTTACCATTGAAATTTGAATAAATTTAAATAAATTAGCTAGTATTTACCTCCAAATAGGAACATGATACCACAGTCGGTAAAGAGCGTGACAGACATGGTATATGTTGCCTGGAAGCTGCTGACTACCCCAAAGAACTGAAGGCCAATTGCAATGCACAAGCATATACCAGACATCTTCTCCAACTCTAAACATAAAAAAGAAAAAAAAAAACATATTTGTTAGACTAGCTATCATTATTAATATTCTCTTTTATTATTATTATTATTATTATTATTATTATTATTATTATTATTATTATTAATTAGTACAAAAACCAATATTGTATTCATTATTTATCATTAACACCATCATTATCATTATCGTCATCACTGGTTTTATAACTCCTGAATAATGATAAATGTCTCTTATTATTTTACTTATATAATTAATTATCAACTATAGAGTACTACAGTGTTACGTCACAATACCATGTGATACTGCTCCGTTGCTATCTGCGACACGAAATGCATTCAACCGACGCCATTTTCTCCACTGACAAACCTTTGATCCAAATTTCTAACGTAATTAAAGTAGTTGGATCTTTATTTTTTTTTGTAAAGGTTAATTGATGATTAAATGTGTTTGATAACTAATATAATGCAAGCTTTTTGTGTTTTTAGTACATTTTGATGGTAAATTATTAGGTTTTAAAATGGCTATTCCAGAAAGCCTATTCTAAACCATTAAGATTTTCAAGTTAAATCTGAGAGTGCCAATTCCAATCATCTAGAGGTGCCAAAATCATAAACTTTGTAGACCCTCCATCTGTGAAAGTCTCTCCCTGGGCGCCTCTATATGAAATTCTTGGATCCACCACTGAAGCTTTGAGGAAAAAACTATTGTACTGTTCCCATAGGATTCCAACCCGGTTCCGTTCCATTGCCATTCAATTAATAATATATGATTATCTGTTTTGTGTACCTTCAACAAGTAATACAAATGTTATTATGTGTAGAAATATAATACGTACATCATCAGACACATGCTTTTCAAATTCAATGGTATTATATGTGCACTGCACTTCTATCATTACATGTAATGACATCATCAAATGTTACAAACTGCTTATGTAAACTCACAATATGTCTTGCATATTCAAAATATCATGTTTCTGATACATGATTGGTTGAAAATGTTTGCATGAAATAAGATTGTCCAAAGTGGCCCAATCAGGAACAAGAAGATATAATAAATAAATTCAAGACATCTTGCATATTCAAAATATGTTTCTGAAGCATGATTGGTTGAAACGGTGTGCATAAAATTATTCAATCCAAAATGGACCAATCAGGCACAAGAAGATAAAACACATTTGCTGTAATGCAAATTCTGATAACTTCTATCGTTATAGTAGTGATGTCATTACAAGATAGAATTCAAGAATCATTTGCATATTAATCAAAATTTCATTGTTGCATATACTGCACTTGCACAGATACACTCTATGCTGTGGTAGTGAAATTTTTTTGTAAAATGGAATGTGTTAATATTAGGTTAATTTTAGTACATTCTGCAGTATACTCATGCTCATCAGCCTTCTTTTCTTTAAATATGATTGGTTGAAATTATCTACATAAATTAAGATTGTTCAATATGGGCCAATGGCACTTGTTGCTAGAAAATGGTTTGTTGAAATAGTATCATACTAAATTCAGGTTTAATATTCTGAAAGTCTTAATTATAAATTCATCATACTTAGAAAATTGTGTGAATTATAAATAAATCCAGGCCTGTTATTAATACATCAAACTATATGTTAACTAGGTAAATCAGAATCTGATATCAATTGACATATTAATTTCAATTATGTCAAAGTTATGAATGTATACAGTACAGTGTATTGGTTTCAATTACAAAGCTGGCTTTTGCATGAGTGGTTTCTATGTTACCATATTACCTTTTGATAAATAATTTAGAACTAGAAATATGTTAATAAAATAATAATAATAATAATAATAATAATAATAATAATAATAATAATAATAATAAAATACAATATTGATATAAAGCGCTAAACACTAGTGGTTTCTATGTTACCATATTACCTTTTGATAAATAATTTAGAACTAGAAATTTGTTAATAAAATAATAATAATAATAATAATAATAATAATAATAATAATAATAATAATAATAATAATAAAATCAAATATTGATATAAAGCGCTAAACACTAAACCAATATTAAAAAAAGGTGCTGGGCATGTTTTGATTTTTTAAAAAGTAGGTTTTTAAATCTAGCCATGAAAATAGTATGTTTAGCTGTAGAAAACGAAGGATAGGTGATAGACATTTTAAATGTGATAACATTAATAAATAATTAATAAGAGTGGATTTTAAGGATGGAAAAGTGGATTAATAATAGTGGGTGGAGGGCCATAACATTAGCGTTAGACTGGGTGGAAAACTTCAAAGCTGGCTTGCTCCGCCCACTTGCGCCAACCATCACTACATCCTTGTGTTTATCAAAACATGTGCTTTTTTTTATATTAGTAGAAACTTCAAAAGAAAGAGCCAACAATATCAGAAATGATAACAAAAGGATAATTTATTACTTTAAAAAATGCATTAAAATACTAATACGAATGGGTTCATGTTTAGAGATTCTAATGCGCAATGTGATTCTGACTTGTGGAACAATATTTAATGAAACACCAAAAAATAGTGCCATTCTTAAAATTTTTTAAAAGATAAATTCAACATAATTTTTAAGTACAGTTGATTTGGAAGTATCTTTGGTTTTAAGCTTTTCTATTTGTATTTGTATTTTTGTAAGTAGTTCTTCTTTAGTTCAAACATTTTCTAGTAAATTTTTCATGGTATGTAAAAGGTACCTACAGGTATACGCCCTAGTGGAAGAACATCACCTTGGTGAATAAGCTTCTGTTTTAAAAGATTTTATTATTATTATTATTATTATAAATTAATTTTGAGTCCATGTTTATTGTATCTTCTTCATCACCTTTAAGAATGTTCTGCACACATGATTATAACTCATGTGATTGCAAGTCATATACACGGTTGTAAAACATATATCCCGATACGTGATTATATCACGTACACTAGATTATAACATGGAAGATTTGTTTTTCAAATCAAAAACCCACGCTTTCCATATGGAGACGTCAACAAATCAAAATGTAATTATGTGTTTGTTGATATCAGTGATAAAACGTGCAAAGACACAAAATGGTGCGACAGCACGCAACCCACAGGGACTTTGTCCTTAAATCCACATTCGCCTTACTGATCACAATACCGCACATTACTACGACAACAAAATACTTATAGTATTAACTGAACTTAGAAGGCACACAGCAGATGATATATCAAAGTAATCAATATAATCGTGCTGCATAACAAACACATTTTTTTTATTGCAGCGAGTAAGACTCAAAAACCTCTGAATGTATACTGTATTTAGCCATCTCACTGAGGGCCTCAAATATGCATAATCATGAAGAAGTATAAAATAATTGAGAATTTGATACTTAGATGTGTATAAGAGACAGAATACAATATTGATATAAAGCGCTA